AGAAATTTTTTTTTCATGTCTTGAGATCCTTTGGAAACGTGTTAGATGAAAAAGCATTTCTGGGGTTCTAGAAAGTGTGATAGTGACATCTACTGTAAAAGCTTGTGGTGGTACAGTCTTTGCAGAAGCTGCAGTTTAGATAACCCAGTGCTCAGGAAGAATTGACTTGTTTACCTGCTGTTTTTAGGGGATAGGAAATATAAAATATGTCCTCAAATAGATTGAATCAGAACCACTTGTAGAAAATAATATACAAATAAAACCTCAATTTCCCATAAAGCTAACACCATTTAGAGCTGGGTTACTAAAAAGTTGAAAGAAGCTATTGTATTCTTCAAGCGTTTTAAATAGGAAGGTACTCTTGTAATCACTGTGCAGGCTAACAGAACTAGATTTAGTCAGTACTGGAGTATTAGAAGAGGAAGGCAGAGATGGGGGAAATAGTCAAGGCCAAGTGGCCCAAGGGAAGAGCGAGGGGAGCAGGCCTTGGAGCAGCTAGATGAAGTGACTCGTGCAAGAGGCAGAGACAGCTCTCCTGCTTGTGTCTGGAAATGACAAAAAAGCTTCCTGAGATAGGTATAACTGTAGCTGGAGCTCCTCCCTTTGCATCAGTGTGCAGTTAAACTGCTGGGTGTATTGACCCAAAAGTATTTTATTAAAAATCCAAACAGCAAGGAAGCTTACATTCACTATTTTATATTTGATCATAAGACGATACTAAAACATGGCAACATTTCTACCAGGAGGAAAAAAAAAGTATACATGATGAGTTAACTTGGTAACTAATTTATTCCATATTGTACTTCAAAAATGTTACTAATTTTTTAATGAATTTTCTAAGTAGGCTAATTTTTTAACTTTACACTGTTTTTAAAATAATACTTAGTTTTGTGATACTCCAGATATACAGAATATGTTTAAATGCTTCAATTGACAGACATTCATATACTGCTACTTAGATTTCATAGGTGTTAACATTTTCTCATATTTGAGAAATAGATTTTTATTTGAAAGAAATAAAATCTTATATACACAGCTAAAGTGCCTCTGTCCTTGCCTGTTGTACTTTCTGCAAGCATGTGACTGTGAACAGTATAGGCCATTATGTGTTTTTTAAATTGTGGAAATAGAAACTCATAATATTGATTTCTAAATTTGTTTTCATCTGCATGGAAGGCAGGGTGACAGAGACTGAGGCAGAGGGGTGTTCTCTCCACTGGCTTACTCTCCAAATGCCTGCAACAGCCAGGGTTGGACCACACTGGAACCAGGAGCCCAGAGCTCCCGAGCCCCTGAACGTCTGCTACTTGCTAGACAGATGCGGGGAAGCTGGATTGGAGTGGGGGAGCTGCAGCTTGAACCAGCACTCTGGAATGGGATGTGGGCACAGTAGGCAGGGACACAGCCTGCTGCCTGCCACAGTGCCAACCTGGACGTAGAATGGACAGCTGCCTGCCAGTTATCTCCTGCTGTGGAACAAACCATCCAAAAACTTAGTAGTTTAGAGCTGTGATCTCTTAGCTCTTGTTCTCCGAGTTGCCAAGGTCTTGCAGAATTACCGATGCAGCTTGGAGGTGGTGGGCAGGAAGGTCCCAAGCAGCCTTCCTTGGATGTCTGTTTCCTCTTGCATAGCCTCTTCTTTTGTCTAGACTGGCTTCTTTACATCATAAAGTGAGGGCAAGCCACAGAAATGGACAAGGCCTCTTGAGATCTGGGCTCTGAACTTGCATAATGTACCTTTATGTGTTTTTGTGGTCACAGCAGGTTGCAAGGCCATACCTTTTGGTGGAAAGAATAACAAAGGCACATTGTGTGGAGGTATGGCAGGGGGCATTACCTAAACCACAGCTTCTGCAAGACATTCTACCACATGATCCCATTCTCTAATTCAGCTCTTTTACTCCTGTCTGTCCTAAGAAACTTCCACAAAAGCAGACTGTACTTACTGCGATTGTTTATAGCTGGGGGAAGAAAAAGGGCCGGGGACAAGAACTTACCAGAAGGAAAGTGGATCATACAGTTTATTCATGTAATAGAATAGCATGCAGTATTGAAAATAAATGACCTGTACATGGATCACCACAGGTAACTCTAAAAATGAGTGAAAAATCAGGTTGGAAAAGGGGGTAGGGGCCTGGCACGGTAGCCTAGTGACCAAAGTCCTTGCCTTGAATGCACCAGGATCCCATATGGGCAACCGTTCTAATCCTGGCTGCTCCACTTCCCATCCAACTCCCTGCCTGTGGCTTGGGAAAGCCGTAGTAGATAGTCTCCCTGCACCTGCATGGGAGACCTGGAAGAAGCTCCTGACTCTTGGCTTTGGATCAGTGCAACATTTTCCATTACGGCCATTTTGGGAGTGAACCAGTGGATGGAAGACCTTTTTTTCTGTCCTTTCCTCTGTGTATCTGACTTTTCAATAAAAATCATTTTTTAAAAAAAGTATAGGTAGGATGATGTGGTATAACCTTAAAGTGTAACATTTGAAGTTTCTTTAAAATTTTTTATTTTTATTTTTATTTGGAAAGTGGAGACACAGGGAAACAGAGAAGAGAGGTCTTCTATCCATGTGCAGATGCCTACAACAGCTAGGAATGGGCCACACTGCAGCCAGAAGCCTGGGACTCAATCCAGGTCTCCTATGTGGGAGACTCAAGTGCTTGAGTCCTCATCCACTTTCTCCTAGGGTGCATACCAGCAGGAAGCTGGATTGAAAGCGGAATAGCTGGGACTGAAACCATCCACTCTGATGTAGGATGTGGGCATCCCAAACCATGGCCTAACTGCTGTGCCAAATGCTTACCCCAGCATTTGAAGTTTCTAAGGTAGACTGATGAGAATATTGTTTTTGCTTTTTTTTTTTTAATCAAAGGTTATCTTTGGATGACATCCATGGGGTCGCCAGGTTAGCAGTACTGTTACCTGACCAGACTGAGCACTCTGTCTAGGTCAGTGATCACGAGCAAACCCATGTTTAGATTGTTGGTTGTCTGGGAAGTATAGTACCTGCACTTGAGGCAGTGTTACTCTCCATCACTAAGAGCTAATGAAGGTGCCACTTCATTAGTAATGTTGGAAAAGCATCTTAGAGTACATTTTTTTGAGATACTCATATGTAGTACCACCATCTTGTATTTAAACTAGTTTTAACTTCAATGAGTTTTCAGTTTCTTATCTGTAAGTGAAGGAGAATGTTTTTCTTAAAGAATATTGACAAGATTCATTGATTATAAAACATTTAGAGCAGTAACTGGTAGATACTCTGAAAACAGTAGTTAGAAAAAGTATGTAGAAGAGGACTTCTGTGTTAGGTTAATTTTCAATAATGTCATGATGAGTAGATAGGATTTCTTTAGGTAAAATGGGCTACTGAAGTAGTTAACTGTCAGCTATGATTATGGAACTGTAAGAATTTAAATTACAAAATCCTTTCTTTGCTGGTATTGTGGTATAGTGAGTAAAGCTGCTGCCTGTGACACTGGCGTTCTATATGGGTGCCAGTACAACTCCCTGCTGCTCTACTTCCCATCCAACTCCGTGGTAATGTGCCTGTGAAAACAGCAGAAGATGGCCCATTGCCACACAACCTGGGGACCCAGAAGCTCCTGGCTTTGTCCTGGCCCAGCCCTGGTGGTTGTGGCCATTTGTGGAGCAAACCAGCAGATGGAAGATTTCTCTTTGTCTCTCCCTCTTTCTGTAGCTCTGCCTTTCAAGTGAATAAAACCTTTTTAAAAAGTCCTTTCTCATTTATTATCTGATTTTGTTCTTTATGAGTTCTGTTCTGTCTCCCAGTTTCAGAGAGGGTGAATGAGCAGTGCTGGTATAAAGTACACCAAGTTTCTCGTGAAGGCCAATTAAAGCAGAAAACAAAGACCCTGTAAGCTTCCCACTTCTAGGAGTGATTTTGTGTTTGGGTGTTTTCCTACTTCCTGAGTAGATTTGTCTCTATACTTCCCTCCCACCCCCGCCCCCATGGGTAGAGAGGAGGAGGAGGAGGAGGAGAGAAAGGATAAAATTTATAGTTAATGCAGCTCCTTGGAAAGGGAACTTCACAGTTTGTTTCTTACTCAGACCTAGTGATGTTTGAAATGCTCTTGCTCAAAAGTCTGGTGTTGTAGCTAGCCAAGCAGTCAGCAGGCTCAGCCTGACGGTAAGCCACGGTAAGCCACGCACATCCCACATCTGAGAGCTTGGGTTTGGGTCCCAGCTCTGTTTTCTAACTCCAGTTTTCTAGTAATGGCGGACCCTGAGAGGCAGTGATGGTAGCTTCAGTGGTGATGGCCAATCAAGGCCTATGTGAAGTCTAGATTATGTGTCCGTGTCCTGACTCTGACCCCAGCTAGCCTCACATGTGGTTGGTATTTAGGGAGTGAACTACCAGATGGGAGCTGTCTGTTTCCATCTCTTATACTAAAAATGACCAGGCATGTTGGCAAGATTTTCTTTTTTTTTTTGTAACCAGTTAATGGCAGTTACAGATGCATCAGGGACTAAGAACTTTTCTCTAGATTGCAATTTCCCTAAGATTAAGTAGAATTTACTAGTTATTTGATTACATTGTAGAATGTGCTAAGCCAGGGCGACAGATTTATATGTTCAGGTATATTGATTTAATAAAATTCTCCAGGATGAAAGGGATTGTGTGTGTGATTTCCTACTTTGGCTATATGTTTTAAATGTTTGAGAAAAACCTGTAAATTTGTGACTGCAACTTTCTTGGTTAACAGAAACTCTTTTTGAGTAATTCCCTTTTAGGAAGAGAAAGGAAACTTCATATATTAGGTTTTGGGCATCACTTCTTATTACTATCATAGATACATCACTTTTTACCATTTAGATGGATACACTTCCAGGTAAGTTTGACTTTGCTTGGGATCCTAGGCTGATGTTACAGATTAGGTTTCAAACATGTTCCTACTTTGTTCTTCTTTTGCTGTGACTCTGAAGGGCCTTGGAAACAAATGGTGTTAAGTGTAGTCTTGTTTTGTTTTACATTTCAGAGTTTCTGGATTTCAGAAGACATTCCTAGTAACAAACATGACTGAGTTCTGGCTTATATCAGCTCCTGGGGAGAAAACCTGTCAACAAACATGGGAAAAACTGCATGCGGCCACTACAAAGAACAATAATCTTGCTGTCACTTCCAAGTTCAACATTCCTGACTTAAAGGTGAAGCTGCGCTGTGCAGGAAGTGTGTGGGAGAGGAGGACCAGATCCGACTCTGGGTAGAAATGGGGTGATACCCAGTTTGCTTCAGAAGAAAGCCCTCTTGTAGCCAGTCCTTGGCATAGTTTAAAATGTCTCTTGCTCTTTGAGATTTTAGGACTAGGCTACCAAAATTAATTCTCATTTTTCATTTGTGCTTTTTTAAAAACTTATATTATTTGTATAAAGTGAAGAAATTCTACAACACAGGTTTAGAAATATGATGATACTTTTCATACTGTCCTCCCTGCTGTCCACATTCCCCACCCATCCTCCTTCCTCTTTCTTTTTTAAATTCTTACACTCCAATAAGGAAAGATGTCAACACATGGCAAATAGAAGAAAGAAAAGCCTGTTATTCCTTAAGAGCATGAACAAAGGCTGTAAACAGTAATCAAATCTCAGAATATCAGTTCCACTCATAGATTAGATGATCTATTTTTTGTACTCTGTATTAGTTACCAAAGACCAAGGAAAATATATTTGTCTTTTTAGGACTAGCTTATATCACTATGCTTAATGGTTTCCAGTTGCATCCGTTTATTGCAAAAGACAAGATATTTATTCTCTCTTTTTTTTTATGGCTGAGTGGTGTTCTATGGTGTCTGTCTCACACACACACATATACCACATTTTCTTAACTTTCTCTTCTGTTGTTGAACACCTGGGTTGATTCCATGTCTTAGCTACTGTGAAATGAGCTGCAATAAAGCATGTGAACATATATTACTCTCTCGTATGTTAATTTCATTTTGTTTGGTTAAATTCCAAGGAGATGGCTGGGTCATTTGGTAGATCATTTGTGCTTTTCTAAACTATATAAGAAATGTAAAAAAATATTTCATATGTTCACAAATATAATTTTTTGAAGAGGAAAACTGCTATGTATTCTTTTAAGCTTTTGTTAAGAAATTCATATTATGCTGGCTAACATTTTAAACCCTTAACAATCTCTTTAATTATACTTTGCAAATGTGAGTAATTTATTCTGATTAAGCTCTAACTAAAAAAAAAAAAAAAACCTGTAATCTAGCAGTTTCAGAGTGAGGCAGACTACCAGTTATCAGTTGACCCAACTTTGGCAAGAATGAAAAAGAATTGATACTTATGTTTTGCTGATTAACTGAGTCAGCCATAGATAACATTCATTTAAGAAATGCTTAAATTTCTGGTTCATTTTAAGACATTTTTTTTTATCAAGATACAGAACAGATTTCTCAGGTGTAATTCCTTCCCTGAATCCTTCTTTCCTTCCTTTTGTGCTTTTTTCTTTTTAATTTTTGCAGTAACATTAACTTCTATTTATAATCACAGGCTTAATGCACCACTAGCCATAATGTTCCACAAGTATTGGTTCTTACTATTTTTGGAGTTAGGGAGTCCTCTGAGACAAGACAGGACATGTCATCCAAAACATGCTTATTAGCACACAGGTGGTTTTGTCTACAAACTCGATTACAGACGCTTTGATGCTTGGGCGTGAACCTCCTGCTCTGATTGCCCAGGATGTAAAGCAGAACTGGAGATGACTGGCTGTTCCTAGGCGCAGTGCAAGCACAGGCCTGCCTTGGGGGTGTCTTCATGTCTCCCCTGGGGCTTTTGCCTAAGCATTAGTGGGTTATCTTGTGGATGTGTGTGTGTATGTTTTGTGGGCCCTTTAAATCATCATGTTATATCATCTTACAAGCAAAAAAACAATGAGAAATACTGATATGCCACGTTTTCCTTCTAGGTCGGCACATTGGATGTCTTGGTTGGCTTGTCAGATGAATTGGCTAAACTGGATGCATTTGTAGAAGGGTAATGTATGCATGGAGTAGAGCGTAATGAGAGACACCTTGGGCTACCTGGATATTGGGCTGTTATCTTACATGTTCTCTGCTTGTTGAAATGGTTGTAGTAAATGATGACTTATTTTCTTTATGATGAGATCATTTATATTCAATAATATGTGCCTGTGAGCATGATTTTAAAATATTATTCTTGATACAGTATCATACAATTCACCTATTTAAAATTAGAAATTCAGGGCTTGTGTTGTGGCACAGTGAGTTAAAGCTGCCGCATGCAATACCATCTTCCCGTATCAAAATGCTGGTTCAAGTTCTGTTTTGCTCCTGATCCAACTTCCTGCTGATGTGCCAGGGAAGTTAGTAGGTGTTCCACGTGTATGGTCTCTTATAATCCAGCTAGGGGACCCAGATGGCAAATTCTGGTCTCTGGGTTTTAGCTGCCCCAGACTAGGCTGTTGTGGCTGTTTGGGGATTGAACTAGTAAGAGAAAGATTTTTTTTTCTCTCCCTGTCTCTCTTTCTGTTTCATTCTGCCTTTTTAAAGTGTGCAATTCTGTGGTTTTTAGTACAGTCACAGAGGTATACAACCTTTGCTACAATTTTAGAAACTTTTTTTTATCACTGCTGTCAAAAATACCATTTCTATTCCCTTTAGTTGTCATTCCCTGTCCCCCACCATCTGCTACCTACTCTCTGTCACTATAGATTGGCCTATTGTGGACATTTCATGTAGGCAGAACACAACACATGGTCTTTTTGCAACTGGTTTCTTTGGTTTAGTGTAATATTTTCAAAGTTAATCTTTGCTGTAGCTTTGTCAATATTTCATTTCTCTTTCTTGCCAGATAATATTCAAATGTATAAAAGTATCTCATTGGTTCATCAGTTGATGGACAGTTAGAGGTTGTTTTCACTTTTTGGCTTGTGTGAATAATGCTGCTATGAACTTTCATCCACAGTAAGTTTTCTTGTGCTTCTATGTTTTCATCTCGAATGAGTGCACATATAGGAATGGGATTGCTGGGCCATCGGTAACTGGTTAGCTTTCTGAGGAATGGCTGCCAGGCTCTTCCCAAAGGTGGGTGCTCCATTTTATGTTCCCACCATCGGTTTGTAGTGTGTAAGAATCCTTATTTCTTCACATCCTTGCTAGTGCTTGTTACGGTTCGTCTTTTTGGTTATAGCCATTCTACAGGGCTTTAAGTAATTGTCCTTCGGGTGGTGATTTCAAGATTTATTTGCTTAGTTGAAAGAGCATCAGAGAGGGAGAGGAGAGATTGATTCCATCCATTGACTTACTTCCCAAATGGCTGTTAACAGCTAGGGCTGGGTCGGGCTGGAGCTAGGAGCTGGTAACTTTATACTGGTCCCTCTTGCTCCCCACTATCCCACCTGTAACAGGGGCCCAAGCACTTGGATTGTCACCTGCTCTCTTCCTGAGCACATTAGCAGGAATCAGAAGCTGAACTGGGGTTGCTGCAATATGGGATGCTGGCTTTACAAGAAGCAATTCAACCCACTGCATCAGATGCTGCTCAGCATCTTGTGTTCTTGTGTTTTTTTGTTTGTTTGTTTTTTGTTTTTCAATTTTTGACATATTTTATTTCTTAAAGGCATTTAAAAAATTGATTCTGATAATTTTATTTTCTAAGTCTCTTTGTCTTAGATTTAAAACTCACTTTTCTTCAAAGCATTTCCTCTTAAAAGGAATGTATTTTCACAGAGTGTGTCAGGTGTAATATTTAGACTGTTGTTTTGATAAAATCCAGTTGCTCTGATATGGCTTGAAAATGCTTGTTCCTTTGGAGTATAATTGCAGGGCAAAAACTGCGGCATAGATACAAAAATTCACCATATCACTTGGATTGGTTTTGTACAGAATCATGTGGGATTTTGATAGTGAGGTAGCCAAACATGAAAACACTGGATTGCCAAGGTTCATACAAGGAGGTGATTGGTCAAGTTTCATTTCTGTGTCTAAATTTGAAGTATTTCTCTTATCCCAGTCGCAGTCTGTCATTGTCATCCTCTGCATAAAATTTTCCGGCAAATGCAATCTTCTCTTATAGCAGATGGCAAAAAGGCTGGCAAACGCCCAGAGAAGGGCCTTTTAACTGCACCTAGTTAAAGAAGCAAAGAGAGGAACTGTTGGCTGATTCAGGCAGCTTTGCTAGTCCTTTAGTCATGCTCTTGATTTTTAAAAAATATTTATTTGAAAGGCAGAGTTAGAGATCTTCCATCTGCTGGTTCACTCCCTAAATAACAACGACCAGGTCTGGGCCAGGCAGGAGCCAGAAGCTAGGAGTCTACTTTGTGGCAGGGAGACTGATTTTTAACTGGCTTGGCTTTTTATTGCATTCTCAGAGTTTTGTACATATTCTAGATGTAAGTTCATGTTAGATATTTGCAAATGTTTCTCCCCATTCTGTGGGTTATTTTCATTATTTTTTGGTAATGTCCTGTGAAGCACAAAATTTTTTATTTTTTGTAAAGTCTAGTCTTTCCCCCCCCCCCCAAACCCATTTTGGAATTGTATCTAAGAAATAATTGTCTAATCTAGGGTCACAAAGTTTTATGTCAGTGTTTCATTGTATGTTTCAAATTTTCATTAGCCTTTTACATTAAGCACATTGATCCATTTTGAGTTTTATCTGTGGTGTGAAATTGGGGTCTTTTGTATGTGAATAACCAGTTGTTTTAGCATCATTTGCTGAAGACTACTCTTTCCCCTTTAAATTGTCTTATCACCTTGCTGAAAAGCCTTTAAACATAAATATGAAGATTTCATCCTGAACTCTGATCTCTCTTTCTTTGATTAGTATTTCTGTTGCTATGACATTATTATTACATTATCTACAGTATTGCACCTTTGTATTAAGTTTTGAAATTGGAAATTGGTAAACCTTTCAACTTTATTTTTCTTTTTTTTTAGAAAGTTGTGCTTTTTTTAAGATTTATTTTTATTATTTTTTTATTGGAAAGGCGGATATACAGAGAGGAGAGACAGAGAGGAAGATCTTCCGTCCAATGATTCACTCCCCAAGTGAGCACAACGGCCAATGCCATGCCAATCCGAAGCCAGGAGCCTCTTCTGGGTCTCCCACGTGGGTGCAGGGTCCCAAAGCTTTGGGCTGTCCTCGACTGCTTTCCTGGGCCACAGGCAGGGAGCTGGAAGGGAAGCGGGGCTGCATATGGGATCCCGGGTGTGCAAGGCGAGGACTTTAACCACTGTGCCACTGCGCCGGGCCCAACTTTTTCTTTTTGAAATGTTTTATGCCATTATATCCCATATGAATTTTGGGATCATATTGTTAAGTTTTTGCAAAAAGGCAGCTGGGTTGTTTTTGTTTTTGTTTTAAGATTTCTTTTATGAGGCTAGCACTGTGCTTTGTAAGGTAAACCTTTCCTGCGGTGCTGGCATCCTACATGGGTACCAGTTCGAATCCTGAATGCTCCACTTCCAGTCCAGCTCTCTGTTATTGTGTCCGAGAAAACAACAGAGGACAGCCCAAGGTCTTGGACCCCTGCACCCAAGAGGGAGGCCCAGCAGAAACTCCAGGCTCTCAGCCCATCTCCTGCCATTCTGGCCATTTGGGGAATGAACCAGTGGATGGAAGATCTCTTTCTTGGTCTCTTTCTCTCTCTGTAAATCTGCCTTTCCTATAAAAATAAATAAATCTTTAAAAAGTAAAAGAATATTTATTCATTTAAAAGGTAAAAGTAGAGAAGGAGTGAAAAATCTTCCATGTGTTATCTCCCCAAGTGGCCACAGTGCTTGGGAGTAGACCAGGCTGAAGTCAGGGGCCAGGAGGTTTTTCTGAGTCTCCTCTTACATGGATGTCAGGGTCCAAGCACTTGGAAAGTCCTCTCTTGCCTTCCCAGGTCCATTAGTATGTAGCTGGATTAGAAGTAGAGCAGCTGGGACTTGAATTGGTGCCCATATGAGATGCTGGCACTATAGACAGTGTGTTAACACACTGCACCACAGTGTTGGTCCCATCACTGGGAATTTTAGTGAATCTGTGAATCAATTTGAGGAGTATTGTTACCTAACAATAATGTCTTTGATCTGTGAACGTGAGAAGTTAGTCCTTTTATTTGAATATGGCGATATTTTGTCTTCAAAATTCAGTGATTCTAAACGTTTTTTCTGAACTGTGTTTTTTAAAATCACTTTTGAAATAGTTACAGTGCATATTATAGCTGAAAATGACTATAACATCCTTGATAACTTTCTGCATTGACAGAGCCAGTCTGCAGTCCTTTTGACTCAGAATACAGAGATTTTAAATTTATGTTGCTTATGTAAATAAGTAAAATGTGTAAAATGCAGAATTTGGGGGAATCTCACAAATGTGCCTTTGATTGAAGCTTTGAGTGAATAGGCTTGATTAGAGAGAAGCTTTCTTGAAATCTACATAGGAAGTTTTCCCAGTTGTGCTGTTAGGCTTTTCTGAATTGATAGAACCTCTACAGAGTGACCACGAGCAAGCCTCAACAAATCCACGGACAGTGGAATCGAAAGACGTTTATTTTGGTGTGAAAATTACTTGAAACCCATGCCTAAAAGTCTTCATAAAGTTCATGAAAAATATATGTTAATGAAAAAACTATGGATTTCCAATTTTTTTTTTTTTTTTGCACCAGAATTAGCTTACCTCTTCATTTTGTGCTTCTGTGAACTTGTAGAGGCTGCAACAAGGTTGCAGGGAGAGAGAGGCATCTTCTCAAGAACAACATGTCCTAGGGAAGGAAACAGTTGTGTAGATGCACAGGTAGTCCTCGTGGAGATAGGAATGCCACCTCGGGCCGTTCTACAGCGTTATTCAGGAAACACTAAAAAGCACATGAGGCGAGATACTTGCCCACTGGATTGGAAGAATAGAGTGAAAGAAAAAGCATCGTTCCTTGTAGGATTAGCATTCTGTACATTCATACAGAAAAAAGTAATTATGAATTATAAAAATAGCAAAAATAATTATGGATGATGAACTCAGAGAACTAGCTGATGGAAAGAATGGTCTATGGTTTCTTGATAGTAGGTTTTTAACTAAGAGAGGAATCTGAGGAAACTTCTTTGAGTTGCCTTGCCTAAGCTGATGGTCTTCCTGAGGTCCTGTCTGCCCTGCTTCCAGTTTCAAGTGGTGACAACCAGAGACTGAGAAGGGTGCTGCTTTCTTGCTGCTTTTGGGCTGTCTTGAAATCATCAGTGGGATGGCCTAATACAACTTTAAAATTACTCACTTTTTTGAAGGAATATGAAAAATATTTAGGGCAAATGCCAGTAGGCTGGTCAGTAGGACTGCAGGTTCCCAGTGCAGTTCCTCAGCTCTGTTGCATGCTGTGCTGCTGTTCCGTCATCTTCAACCTTCCTGAGGGATACTGGAAAACCATCTGGTTGCTAGTCCTTGGTAGGATTGATAGGTGGTCACTTAATACTTTAAATGTTCCACCTTTTGAAGTCTCCATAGTTTGGTATGTGGAGTTACTATCGTTTGTACCTTCTCAGTAATTATTGGAAGAGAAGTGGCTATGTGTACCTTATATAGATATTCTTGGAGAGATGTATGGGGAGACCAGCCAAGAATGTGTACAAACCCCATGTTACACATTGAAGACTTTGGATGCATCGTTGTTTCTGTAATAGTTCATTTCCTCAGGTTTGAGATTACTCAGTGTAGGATTGATATTCAAATATAGCTGATCTGTCTCCTTTTCTCCCCGTGTTTTTAAAATGTTTCAGGAGTTTCTTAATTTGTCCTCTAGTTTTGCTTCCCGGCTGTTGAGCATAGTAGTTAGAATATTTGTTCTCGCAAGCCTATCTCTACCATATTATATCCCTGTCTGGAATCTGACATCAGTCCTCCTGCTTCTCAGTATGCTACTCTGGTTAGTCCTGGCTTACCATTCTCTGAATGTCCATTGCTTTCCACTTTGGTTTATCTTGACCTAGACTGTGCTTGGTGAAAGATACATGCACATATGATCAAAGCCATTCCAGCCCTTCTTTGCCCTGCTAATGGATCCTGGCTCTTGTTCCTTATTGATCCTGGTAGCTAGAAGTGCTGCCTTTCTCCTTTCTGCTTCTCTGTGACTTGGTAGTCACAGTTAGTCCTCACTCATGCTGCTTCATATTTAGTCATTTGTGTATTTTTGTCTCTCCAGTTAGATTTGAAGCAATGTGAAAGTGGTAAGTTTGTCTTGTGTAACCTTGACTCCTACCCAAGGCCTTGTGGCGACACGGTATGGGCCGAAGAACCCTGGGCTCTGAAGTGAAGACCCCATGTTTCTGTTCATAGCTCTGCTGTCAGCGGAACTGGCAACTGTGGATAAGGCACTTATCTGTGCCTCCATGTCTTCACTTACAAAATGAAGGGATTGACGAGGTCTTACCAAGGTGCCCTGATAGTTTTGGCACTTCTGGTTTTCTTTTATAGCAAAGTTCCTGACACAGAGCTGATGTTTGATAAATAGTTTATGAATAAATAATACAGGAGCTCATCCTCCTTGGTTAGTTTTGTTTACATTCTGTTTCCTGTTGGATCCCTTTTGTCCTATGGGAGAACACAGTGGCTGGCACGCAGTAGGAATGTCATCCCCGGCTTCTTCCTTTGTCCGTGGCCCTTGCAATCAGTTCCGTCGTCCACTTTCTTCTCGGTGTGTGATATATGGCTGTTTACAGACTGTTTCTCACTACTTATCTCCACCATTTTTGTCACACTGACAAGCGCACTGCACGTAGTCTGCTTAAAACCCTACGTAATTTAGTTGATTTACGCATGAAGCAAAATCTTAATCTGCTTTATCCTTAAATCGTAAATAAGTAGAATCCATTTGTTCTATATTGTATGAATAACTTAATGGTAATCTATGCAGCCAACTCTATGTATAGGTGGTAATTGTGTAACCTGGGATTTGGGTCTTTTTGCTGGAAATGGTTGAGTTTTCCTTTTCCCTCCCCAGAGTCGTGAAGAAGGTGGCCCAATACATGGCTGACGTATTAGAGGATAGTAAAGATAAAGTTCAGGAGAATCTGTTGGCCAATGGAGGTAAGCTTATATTTTCATAATTGATAATGAACCTTAATGAAGTAACTTTACTACAAAAACTGAGAAAGAATGTGAAAACAACCTATAAATAATGTTATTAAATACAACAGGAAGTCAATGAAATGCAATTATTATTACTGAAGTTGCTGCTAATTGCCAGTTATATCCTGTCCCCGGAGCACAATCTTTAAAATTTTTCTTCAAAGATGTGTTTTTTGAAAGGCACACATACACACAAACACACGCAGAGAGAGATCTTTTATCACTGATTCACTTCCTAAATGGCCACAATAGATTTGGCTGGGCCAAGCTGAACTGGAACTGAAACTGGAACTCCATTTTGGTCTCCCCAGGGCTACAGGGTCCAAACACATTGACCATCTTCTGCTGTTTTCCCTGGTGCATTCGCATTGGAAGTGGAGGAGTCAAAACTTGAACCGGGGCCCGGCGCAGTGGCGCAAGTGATTAAGGTCCTCACCTTGCACGCCCGGGATCCCATGTGGACACCGGTTCTGGTCCCAGCGGCCCTGCTTCCCATCCAGCTCCCTGCCTGTGGCCCGGGAAAGCAGTCGAGGACGGCCCAAAGCTTTGGGACCCTGCACCCGCGTGGGAGACCCAGAAGAGGCTCCTGGATTCGGATTGGCATGGCATCGGCCGTTGTGCTCACTTGGGGAGTGAATCATCGGACGGAAGATCTTCCTCTCTGTCTCTCCTCTCTGTATATCCGCCTTTCCGATAAAAGATAAAATGAATCTTTAAAAAAAAAAAAAAAGACTTGAACCATTGCTATGGTCACAGGTGGGATGCTATGGTCACAGGTGGCCTGTGCCACTGTGCCTCTTCCCAAAATATAGTCATGTGTAAGATAGCAGAATTCATAGAAATTTACTTTAACTTTTTCTGGGTCGTGTTTACCAACTCACATTTACAAATAAGTTTCGCAGTTATGTATCCCACCACTGTTCCTGTTCTATAATTGTTGTCCTCTTTACACGTTTCTGTATTTAGTGACATCCAAGTACTAAAATCTTAGAGTAGAAATTATTAATTAAAATTTTTTTTTATATTTTCCCCTCCATTCAAATTTGAATATGAATTTTCTTAGTGCTTATAAAGCAGTCTATTGACTTTGCTTCTGTGCCTAGAAACTAATACTTAGGTAGAGTTTGCTTTGTGTAGTAATGGCTTTATAATGTTGACCTCATTGTTGTCATTTACACTTGGATTTTTGGTTTACTTATGAAATGCCACTTTAGGATTTGCTTCATTCTAAATTAGGGCATCCATGTTTAGTGACTATAATAGGAAGTAACCATTTTGTTTTACTGCATGCTCTATTATAGACCATAATAAAGTTTCTGTATCTTAAATCCAGTGTTCTTCTAGTCTTGTTTCTTCTAGCGAATAGTAGATGCTTATTAGTCAGTTAAAAATGTAGGAATTTATTTTTGCTTTTTACTAATATGGGGAGTCTGAACTAATTGTTCACTCTCGCTGTTCATTTATCATTTGTGTTTTGGTATAGGATGGAAGGTGGATATGCTATTTTTCTGATGTCTTTATTGGCGTGCCAGAGATTTCATGATCTGGTATGGCCAGTGATCTATGGCAGATGTCAGTGAATGGCAGTCGGGGGGCATTGCATCTAAAATTGCTGTTGGAAATTTCATTGATAGTGTGAACGCATTGGAATATTGTCAGGAGAAACTGAAGAGAGAAAAGTAATTTGTAATGACTTGCTTTTGTCAGTAAGCATTACTGTATTTTGTTCTGATCTTAATCCCACTGGACTTGAGGGATAAGTGGTTTTGATCACTAAACTTAGTGTTAAGCATCTATTTGGCTGTCCCCCATTTTTTATTCCATCCATTTGAAAGGGAAAGGGTCTGTACTTTGAAGATTGCTGGACTGTACATTTGTGGACACAGTAATCACATGGGGGTAGATGTGCAATAGGCTAAGCTGTTTCTTGGAATATATTATATTCCAATATATAAATTGTATGTAAAATATATTTTAATGCTAAAATGTATGGAAAAAACAAATATTTTAATGCTTCTCTTTAGTGATTAATTTATTTTCTCATTTCAGTTGACTTGGTTACCTATATAACGAGGTTCCAATGGGATATGGCCAAATATCCAATCAAGCAGTCCCTGAAAAATATTTCTGAAATAATTGCCAAGGTAAGATGAAAAATTGAGATGGGACATATTACTTTATGGTGGCTTTGCCTATTTTATAACTTAGCTGTGAGATAGTTTGTAGGTTTTTGACAAGGGAAAATTTATGTGTCACAGATATAAATAGCAGTTATTCTTACTACAACTTTAGATGTTAAAACATATGTTTAGATGTTAAAAGATGTTTAAAAGTTTGGCACTTTTATCTGTAGATTTTCTTAGTGTAGTTTACTTGTTAGCATGGTTAACCTAAATACTACTTCAGTGATGTTTAAATGGTAAAGGAACTTTAAAATTCTGTAATATTTGGAGACTATGAAAAGGAAAATCCCTGAGGTTAAGGAACTGTGTCATGAAAAGTAAAGAATTAAAAATTCTGTAATATCTGTGCAAAATTTTCAGGGTAACTGAGGCCATGTAGCATGGGAGATTGGAATCGATTAAAAGTGTGTGAGTCATTCGGGTAGATAATCATGGCCATTTGTATCTGGTTATGTGCAGTACTTGCTCAGGCATTCAACTTGTATAGTTCTCTGATCCCTTCTGTTAGTGTTGAGCCAATGCCCCGAAAAATTCTCATTTGCATGTACCGCATGGTTTCATGTAGTGTTTAAGGAATAAATGACCCTGAAGCTGAGCCCAGAACGCTGTAAGTGCTGCACTCCTTTTTTATTGAGAAGTGCACAGGCCTGAAAGAGAATAGAAAGGTCTCAGCAGAAACTGCAAAGAGGTGATCGGACACTTTCAGTGTATATTGCAGACATTGTGTTTTGTACAGATCAAAGATTTCTGGCAACCCTGTGTCAGCCATTTATCCAACACTGTGTGTGTCTGCGTCTCATAGCATCTCACACTCTTCCATTGTTATGTCTGTTTTGGTGATTAGTGATCTTTGATGTTAACACTGTATTTTGGGGGTGCCACAAATCTTGCCCATTTCAGAAGGCTATTGATTTAATTTTCATAAATGTTGTAGGTATTCTCTTTTATCTGCTGGCTGTTCCTGCCTCCCTCCTCTTCCTCAGGCCATCCTAATCCCTGAGACACAAAAGTACTGAAACTAGGCCAGTTGGTAGCCCTGGAGTGATGGCAGGTGTGTGGCATACTGAGTTAAGCTGCCACTTGGGAGACCTGCATCCCATATCAGATTGCTGGTTTGAGTCCTGGCTACCACACTTCAGATCCAGATTCCTGCCATGCACCTAGGAAAGCAGCGGGTGATGGCTTGAGTACTTGGGTCCCTGCACGCACACAGGATGCAATTCTGGGCTCCTTGTTTCAGCCTGGCCCAACCCTGGCTGTTGCAGGTATTGGGATGTGAGCCAGTACCAGTGGATGGAATATTTCTCTCCCTGTCTTTCTCTCTCTTATTCTGCCTTACAAATAAATGAATAAATCTTAAAAAAAAAAAAAAGCCAGCATAACCCTAAGATGACTGGCACCTAAGTATTCAAGCTTGTGTGTTGCTGTAAGTCACAGCTAAAAGTGATGAAGCCTAATGAGGAAAACTTGTCAGAGGTGAGAAAGGCCCACGGCCAGGCTGTTTGGGCCAGTTTGGCAAGTTGTGAATGCAAAGGAAAAATTATTGAGGGAAATTAAAAATCCTGCTGCAATAAACATGCAGATGATAGAAAAAAATAGCCTTTTTGCTTATATGGGCAATGTTTAGTGACCTGGACAAAAGATCAGACAAAGTACAGCGTTCCCTTAAGCGAAAGCCTGATCCAGAGCGAAGCCCTGGCTCTCTTCATTCTGTGAGGGCAGAAGCAGGTGAGGAAGCTGCAGAGGAAATGTTTGCAATGAACTAATGCTGGAAGTGTGGTCTGAAGGGCTCACTGCATTGCTGCAGTCTCAGGACCAAGGCTTTGGTGGGTGAGCAGTCACTTTCCAGGGATGAGCTGAGAAAATGGTTTCTGGAGATGAAGCTGGGAACACTGCGGAAAGGGCCACAGAGGATTTCAACTGCATTCCCTAAATCCAGTTGAGAGCAGTGACAGGGTTTGGGAGGACGGACTCCAATTTTGAAGAAGTTCCACTGTGCGTGAAATGCTACCAAGCAGCACTGTGTGCTGCAGAGATAGGTCATGGGGGGAAGAGGCAGTACACATGGCAGTTGGAAAAGTCACCCCAGCCTGCAGCAAATGCTGCCCTGGTCAGCATGCAGCCATAGCATGTAGGCAAGACCCTCCACTAGCCAAAAGACAGCAGCTTGTTGAAGGCTTAGCAGTATTTTCAAGCAATACAATATTTTTTAAATAAGGTAGATGCTTTCTAAGACATACACTGCTTTGCATTTATTAGACTAAAGCATGGTGTCAACATAACTTTTATGTACTTTGGGAAATCAAAAAAATTCATGTAACTTATCCAGTTGTGACACTGACTTTATTATGGTGGTCTAGAACCAGCCTTGCTATTTCTCCAAGGTAGGCCTGGATAAATTGAAACATTCTCAGTGATCTCCCTGGCACTTACAAAGAAGTGTGTTTTAAATTATTAAACAGAATTTTACTGGTTTTAGTTACTTAAGTTGTATGATATGCTATAAATATAGTTAACTGCAAATGAATAGATTATCAGAGATTTTAGCTATATCTATAAAGAAAATGAGTAGTTTGCTAATAAAGTGGTGCTTTCATTGTGACTCAGCCTTATTTTCTCCTGTTCCTTATAAAGCATTTAGTCTCCTGCTTTCTGACACTAGTGTTGGATAAGGAGCTTAGAGAGTTCACGTGGCTTATCCTGCTGTGGCACAGCTGGTAATAATGGAGCCATGTTGAAACCACTTCTGCAAATAAGTTCCACTGCAATTTTAATTTGATTGAAATACATATTGTATAGTAATAGGAGTTTGTATCTAACTAATGGGGCTGGCACTGTGGCACAGTGAGGGAAGCAATGCCCGTGGCACTGGCATCCCATGTGAGCTCTGATTTGAGTGCCTGCTCCCCACTTCCCATCTGGCTCCCTGCTAATGTCCCTGGGAAAGTGGCAAAAGATGGCCCAAGTCCTTAAACCTTCGATACCATGTGGGAGAAGAAACTCCTGGCTCCTGACTTTGGCTTGGCCCAGCCCTGGTCATTGTGGCTGTTTGCAGGGAGCAATCCGTCAGATGGAAGTTCTTTCTCTCTCTTTCCTTCTCTTGCTGTAACTTTTTCAAATAAATACATAAATCCTTTAAATGTTTTACATGATTTAGTTCCTTTTAGAAATAAATCCTTCAGTCTTGTAAATTAAGTCTTTAAATTAGTAATTTTTTTAAAGATTTATTTTTATTATTTCTTTATTGGAAAGGCGGATATACAGAGAGGAGAGACAGAGAGGAAGATCTTCCGTCCGATGATTCACTCCCCAAGTGAGCGCAATGGCCGATGCTATGCCAATCCGAAGCCAGGAGCCTCTTCCGGGTCTCCCACGCGGGTGCAGGGTCCCAAAGCTTTGGGCCGTCTTCTACTGCTCTCCCGGGCCACAGGCAGGGAGCTGGATGGGAAGCGGGGCTGCTGGGATAGAACCGGCACCCATATGGGATCCCGGATGTTCAAGGCGAGGACCTTAACCACTTGCGCCACTGCACCAGGCCCATAAATTAGTAATTTTTAAACTCAGTGTCCCATATTCAGTTCACATGATTTGAGAAGTGATTTAGGGGCCTGTGCTATGATGCAGTGGTTTAAGCTGCTGCCTGCAATGCCTGCATCCCATTTCAGGGCACCAGTTCAGAGCTCTAGCTGCTCTGCTTCCAATCCAACCTTTCGCTGATGCCTTTGGGAAAGCAGTGGAGAATACTGTGAGTGTTTGGGCCCCTGCCACCCATGTAGGAGACCCAGAACTTGTTTCTGGCTCCTGGTTCTTGGGTTTGGTCCAGCCTAAACGTGGGCCAGAACTGGTATAACTGTGCCAACAGATGGAAGACCTCTTTCTCTGTCTCCTTATCTGTCACTCTGCCTTTCAAATAAATAAAAATAAATCTTTTAAAAATATAATATATTAATAAGTAAACTATGTGAACTAAAACTTTTTAGTAGAAGAGATTCATATGCGGATCATATTTTAATAAAGTAATTTTTTGTGTCCACTAAAATGGTGCTTGTAAAAATCATAGATTATTATTGTACTAGAAATTTAGTGGTGTTTTCTGTAGAAGTTGGAGTGCAGCTGTTTTCATTGCATTACTAGAGGGAGACTCGGGGCAGTTTTGCTCATGTTCTTTTTCTGTTTGGAAGGGAGTGACTCAGATTGATAATGACCTGAAATCGCGAGCATCAGCGTACAATAACCTGAAAGGAAATCTTCAGAATTTGGAGCGAAAGAATGCGTAAGCAAACCATAGCTATCTTAATATTGAAGTCTAGGAAAGCCCATTAGCATGCACTGAAAGAGATTTTGTTATGTTTTAGTAAGTTCTGTTTTATGCTGTTTTTATAATCAAGAGAGTACTTGCTTCATAGAGACAAGTTCGTTAGTATATATTTGGAGAATTCAGATTCATCTAAGCAAATGTGACTTAATTATGCTTGCTTCATAAGTCATGCTTATGTACTGGCTTCTGAATTATCCCTTTGTATGTTTTATATTTCAGTGAAAATTTGTCTAAAATAATTGTTTTAAATCAAGTCATAGTTTAATTGCTTAGGAGTAACATGCTGCTTAAAATAACTCTTTCAAAGAACTCTTTTATAATGTAATAATTGTTCTCTCAATTATCTGTTTTCTGAATTTGTATTTTTCACATGTTCTATTTTTGTCCAAATAGGGCACCCTTATTTTTTTTTGTTCTCCTTATAGTCTAACTGCTACACATATAACTTTAAAAGCATGGAACTGCTCACATTATGTAATCAAATTTCAGAGGCAAAATTGATTGGACATTGGCAGTGATATAAACAGGGCAAGATACTTTCATTTTGGGACGATTAGTACTGGAAGAGCAAATGAAAACTGGTTTTAGACTTGGTTCTTGGGTCAACTAACCAAAATTGTCTGGTATCAAATGATAACCCAAGAGAAGAGGGGAACCAAAGAGGCTGCTTAGGTGACATCTTACAGTTAGCGTGAAGTAGGCTGTAATTGTTATCTGTCACATAGCCCTTTCCTAGTTGGTATATATGTAATCAGGAGAGAACGTGAGTAGTAATGATTCCAGCAAACTCAAGGGTAGACATTAGAAGCAGATTTTGATTCATGTGGACATTTGTTTGGTTGCAGGGGTGGAATGTAAATGTCGACTTCATTTAAAGTCTTAACCCAGACTGTTCCCTCTCGGGCCTGTGTATGTAGTGCATGCAAGTATGAGTAAGTGCTGTTTCTCTGTGTGTTGCAGAAACATATTGTAAGCCTAATGATGTTGTTTTCTTATCCTCAGAGGAAGTTTGCTAACTAGAAGTCTAGCAGAAATTGTGAAGAAAGATGACTTTGTTCTTGATTCAGAATATCTCGTCACATTACTGGTCGTGGTTCCCAAGTATGTCTATTGCAACAAGTTTTACTTGCTAAAATACAAGAAAAATGTAGTGATATCTAATACTAAAATTCAAAGATTTTCACAAAACCCAAGTGTGGAAGGAATATAACCTTGTCATTCATTCTGTCAAAACATTTACTCATATGGAACATTCAGTAAAATTCAGTTCTTTACTTGATAATGAGACATGAATTATAAGTTGAGTTTCTAAATCAAATTTAGCAGCTTGGTAGAGTTGGCTTAATAAAAAAGTGAATAATGTTAGATCATTAGACTGTTTAAAATACAGATTTATAGTTTTTTAAAATAGGGAGGTCTTTGGATTTGCATTTTTGGAAAATCTTTATGACAGCTTAGGATGTGTTAAATTTTAAGAAGCAAATAATGGATTAGACTGGGGTTAACTTTTTTTTTTTCTGAAAATGGTCACCTTGCATTTTGGGACTGTTTAAGCTCTGTCACAACTCTCAATTCTTGTATGTCAACTGAAGCAGGTACAGATAATAAGAAACATGTTTTAAAACACCTTTATTTACAAAAACAGGCTGTGGGCGCAGATTGCTGACCTGTGGGTTAGCTCTTTTAAATTTCCTTTAAAATTTAATTTTCTGTCTGATGAAGTTTGACTATAGTTAATTGTGATAAGAGAATATGTGTATGCGGATTAGTGGAAAAATGGAATTACATGGTAAGTTTATATTGAGGCAAAAGAAAATTAGAAATTCGTACATAGTTTTTCATTATGAACACTTCCTGTGACCTTGTTGAAAGCCCCTCATATGGATTTCAAAATTTTCATACAAAATTAAACTTTATCCTTTAATTACATTTTCTATGAACTTTCTTTCAAAAGATATATTTATTATTATTTGACAGGCAGATAAGGTAGATTTACAGAGAGGAGACATAGAGAGAGAGAGATCTTCCATTTGTGGCTTCATGCCCCAGATGGCTGAAATGGCTAGAGCTGAGCCAATCCGAAGTCAGGATTTAGGAGCTTAATTCTGGGTCTTATACATCAGTATTGGGGTCCAGGAACTTGAGCCATCCTCTGCTGCTTTTCCAGTCCGTAAGCAGGGAGCTGGATCAGATGTGGAGCAGCCAGGATATGAACTGGCTCCCATTTGGGATGCTGACACTGCAAATGGAAATTAGCTGGCTATACCATTACACTGGCCCCTGTACAAACTTTTGAAATACTCTTGTACTATGTAGGAAAAAAATTTTTTTCCACATTAAAGATTTTTTTTTCATTGAGCATTTATTTAAGAATTGAGTTTAAAACCAGAAAGTTTTTTTTCTATACTGTATAATTGAAACAAAATACCCAAAACATCTCACCTAGTTAATTTTCCTTTATCATGGTCTACAGACAACTAGTTCCTTTTTTCCTCTGTTGTTTATTCAAAAAAGTGAGTAAGAGCACTTCCACCTACTGATGCATTCTCCAAATGCCCTTAACAGCTGAGGCAGCCAGGAACTCGTGCAGAACTCGAGCCTGGGCAGCAGGACCCCAGCTACTGTCACTGCTGTCTTCCAGTTTCTATCAACAAGAAGCTGGTTTCAGCAACTGGAGTTGAGGATAAAACCCAGACTCACTGAAGTGAGAGGCATCTTAACTGATAGTTTAGCTAGTAGACCAAGTGTCTGCAGCCGTTATTCTTTCAAACATGGAGCAGTCAGTTGGTCTGGTGATTAAGGGGCTATTCGGATGCTGCCTCTCATATTGGAGTGCCCAGGTTCTGAACCAGAGTCCAACTTCTTGCCACCACAGACTTTGGTAACAGTAATGGTTGAAGCAGTTGGGTTGCTGACAGCCAGATGGGAGGCCCAGATTGAGCTCTTGGCTTCTGCTTGTCCAGTCCCAGCTATTGCAGGAATTTGAAGAGTGAACTAGCAGATGGGATAGGGAGATGTATACACTCTGCCTCTCAGATAAGTAAAAGACACAGACAGACTGGCTAGAAATATAGGAGTAAAGTCCTTTACCGTGAAATGGACACATCTCAGACACAGTTGTCTCCTTTCACCCCTCAGAGCTGGTGGCCTCTAGAGAAGGTTGTTACACAATGTTCTGTGGCAACAATTTACTGTTACTTCATTTACTCATATCTTGCTGGTGCTTTTTGCTTTCTGTAAATACAGTTTTAGTCAACCCTTCATAATGGGCACTGAATAGAAATTATAGTAATTTCAGTGGTACTTTCTTAAAAAAAAAAAAAAGATGCTATTATATACCAGCCACATAGTTTGAAAATAATTTAGAGTCTCTGCTGTACTTTACTTCCTTTCTGAACTTCTAGGATGTGTCTCCTTAGCAATAGTTACAGGAAATACCAAACTGGTGATATGTATTTCTGCTGCACTCATTAGGTTTGAAACTCATTCTTAGTGGGTTAGTTGCATTTTTTTTAAATTATATGAACCTGGGGGGTACTTATGGTACCCAATGTCCTAGCTTACGTATTTTTTTCTCTTCCTGGTTATGACAGGACTAAGACATGTTTTTCTTTTCCAATGCTTACCATACTCTTTCTGCAGGTTAAACCACAACGATTGGATTAAGCAGTATGAAACACTAGCCGAAATGGTAGTTCCAAGGTCTAGCAAGTAAGTAGTGATCTTTGTAAAATCATTTATTTCCTAGAATCCCATAGTTTGGGTGTTGGATTAGGAACTGTAGTTGCTGTCTTTCCTTTGTGATCAATTTGCAGTTTTAGAACCATTACTTTCAGCTTTAAAGTGAGTTTTATGAACTCTAGTCATCATTTTAGATCTGGAAAGAACTTGGCCCAGTGTGTTTGGCCCATTTATGTTTTTAGACATACAGTGGAGACCGGCAAGGTGAGAGAGTTTGCCCAGAATCTCACATCTCACAGTGGCAGGATCAGAACTAGAACCTGCATCTCTGATGTGGTGCTTTCTCTTCTACTTTGTGACTCCTTGTTTAACTATGTGAAGGGAGCAGGCCAGAATGGCTCCTGGTATACCCAGTTGATCTCCAGTGGATGATGTCACTTGGAGCAGATTTTGCCTAGCCTATATGTTCCTTAATGAACAAAAGCACTTTTTATTAAAAACTTCTTTCGTGGATTTAACATACATTTGTCTAATTTTATAACAATGTGAAACAGTTGGAGGTTAAGATAAGGAAGTGAGAATGCATAATTGCATAACTATGGCAAAGATAGGGCTGGACTCTAATCTTCTAACTCTAGATTCTGTACACTTTTAGTACTGTTCTGTGTCGTTTTGAACATGATTTCATGTCTTGTATGCTGTCGTTACCACATGAGACATTCTTTGCAAAAATATCAAATGCAGCATACTTGTCCTGCTCTGGCTGGTCCTGTTTTGTGTATGTATCAGGACAAGGCAGCCTTGTGGGACAAAGGCACAGGAGAGAGGAGAGAGGTGGGATTAGTAAAGCCAGGCCCATGAAGTGATTTCATTTGTCATGTAAGAGGCAGCTTAGAATAATGGAAGGAGTCCTGGTCCCGGGGATCTGAGTCCTGTTGGCTGGTTCTGCCACCAGTCTGCAGTGTGACCTGGGTTAACTCTGATTGTCTTTGTGAAATGAGTGTATCAACTTTCCCTGCATGTGTTTCCAAGTTTAACGTTAGGCTTGATGGAGTAAACAATAAACCAGGTCATATTATTAGAGTTTCATAAATATTCATCGTTAAGAATTAAAGTAGAAATCTGTCCATCATGAAATTGTTTTTCCCATTTGGGGGTACCTTCCTTTGAGATCAGCTCCAAACATGGTAAGCTGCAGACTGTGGGTGCATCCTGAGAGATCACACCTTCTTACCTGTAGAACACTGGAGGCTTGATTTTGTGTCTGACAGGGGGACCACCACACAGTATCCCCCAAAAGTGGGCAGAGCCCATACCAGATGGCCAGGCTGGTTCAGTTGGCCCAGATGTACTGTGATAGAAGGACTTAAAAGTATCACTGTGGAGACTTTGATCTGTGGAGACTCACACAGTAGTTTAAGGGGAAAACACCAGGCAGGAAATTGAATACAAAGCAGTGCTTGTCTTCTGAATGGCCTGTATGTTCATACTGACTGCCTCGGTTCCTAGCCCTACCTCACTCTATGAAAACATCTGTACATTTGAAGTCAAAACCCAAGCTGTTTAAAATGAGTCAAAGAAAGCAGTAGCAACCCAGCCAGCACCATAAAGAGATAAGTAGTTTATGTAGGACAACTATGCTTTGCTGAGTTAACCTGGAACGGCCCATTGTTTTTTTCGTTAGTTAGTTTGTTTGTTTTTTAAAGATTTATTTTTATTATTTCTTTATTGGAAAGGCAGATATACAGAGAGGAGAGACAGAGAGGAAGATCTTCCGTCCGATGATTCACTCCCCAAGTGAGCGCAACGGCCGGTGCTATGCCGATCCGAATCCAGGAGCCTCTTCTGGGTCTCCCACGCGGGTGCAGGGTCCCAAAGCTTTGGGCCGTCCTCGACTGCTTTCCCGGGCCACAGGCAGGGAGCTGGAAGGGAAGCAGGGCCGCTGGGATTAGAACCGGTGCCCATATGGGATCCCGGGCGTGCAAGGTGAGGACCTTTAGCCACTATGCCACCGCGCCGGGCCCGGAACGGCCCATTGTTAAGGGAAGGCCCCTACCATCATCCCTTGGTGTTATTCCTTTACCCCAGGATCACCTGTCTGTGTCTAGAGGATAAAATGCAGTTAACAGGTAAATTTGTTTTGGTGCAGTTTTGACACCCGTGCGTAGTGTTGCCATAAGATGCGGTTTCCAGGAGCTTTGTGGAAGATCCCTTGCTTGCATGGATTTCAGTTTTCTTTGTATCAAAAACTTCGAACTACATTTTCTGTGAACTCTGAAGTACTCTCATGTGTGCACACAGAACTGTGGGTTATTTTTGAAATCCAAAAGGCCACGGTATACATGAACTTTATAGTTTTCCTCTTTCCAAGCCATTGGCACTGCAGATGTACCTGATGGTTAGGCTCTCTGGGCACTTGTCTCTGGAAAGGACTTTGTGGTGCTGTCCCTGAAGCAGTGTCTGAATAGATGTCCCCACCTCCCTGGGCTCTGCCGGAGCCTGCGGTGGATCCCGAGATGCACAGCGATGCAGATGTCATTCAGAGGCTGGTTAGAGGCAGCCTGTTTGTCAGTGTACAATGACAAGTTGGTGGCAGTGCAAGCCAGGCTTCTGTGGGGCCTACAAGAATGGAGTGAGGAGTCCAGAATTAGTTAGACTTGGGGAAAAAAACAATGCTTAGCAAGGTGACACCAGAAACAGAGAAGACTGAAACTGATATAATTCTTAGAGTTGGATTCTTGTCTTTGAGTTAGTGTTAGTTTTGTGATTTAGTAAGAAGGACATCTAATAAGAGGTGTGAAGCCATCAGAGTCAGAAAGCATCATGACAAGCCCTCAGGGTCCTCAGGGTTTGAGGCAGTAGAGATGAACAGCACTGAACTGGTTGGAACAGGGCTGTCACCCCTCTGGCCCCTCTTCCTCCCACGTCAGTGTGAAAGCAGTCAGTACAAAGCTGGCAGTGACTGGTTCTTTTTCTCCACAGTGTTCTGTCAGAGGACCAGGACAGCTACCTTTGTAATGTCACCTTGTTTCGGAAGGCAGTTGACGACTTCAGACACAAAGCCAGGGAAAACAAGTAAGGCTACTGTTGGTGTTATTATTGTTTAATTTGTTAGGTCAGCTGTTTACAGTATGAATAATATTGTGGGTTTTCCCCCCCAATTTAGATTCATTGTTCGTGACTTTCAGTATAATGAAGAGGAGATGAAGGCAGATAAAGAAGAAATGAACCGGCTTTCTACTGACAAGAAAAAGCAATTTGTAAGATATATGTTCAAGATGTATTTTCTTATTCTGAAAGGGTTAAAGAGAGAGACAGAGACCTCCCATCTCCTGGTTCACTCCCTGATGGCCACAATGCCTGGGGTTGATTCAGGACAAATCCAGGAGCCAGAAGCTTAATCCATTGCTCTGCTGTGGGTGCAGGGACTTGGCCATCTTCCACTTCTTTGCCAGGCCATTGGCAGTGAGCTGGACTGGAAGTGAATCAGCCAAGACCCAAACCAGTGTCGAAGCTGGTTGCTCTGCCTGCTACGTCACATTGCCAACTGTGTATGTGTTTTTAGTATTCAAACTTACCGGTGTTTAGCAGAAGAAAAGGTAGTATTTCTTTGCTTTGATTTTTGCCTTGATTTAAAAGAAAACTTTTTTGAACTTCTTTTTTTAAGACATCTCAATCATTTTTTTCTTTTGAATGATCACAATGAATTTTTTCTAATCAGGCTTAGATCTATGAACAGTTATCTTACACCTAAAAATATATTAACTCTGCCCCAGACCATACCGTCTTTTGTTTGGAAGCAGAGATGCATGTTGCATTGTTTTCACTTCTAGATATGGTAGTCTTTATTACTCCACCATTATACCTTTCAATTTGCATGATAGATTCCATATATTAGAGAAAATATATGCTATTTCTCTTTTTATGATTGACTTATTTCACTGAGCATGATGGTCTCTAGTTGGGACCATCAAGTTGCAAATTGTATAATTTCATTCTTTTTAATGGCTGAATAATACTCCATGGAGTAGACGTACCACAATTTCTTTAACCACTCCTCTGGATGGGCATCTGGGTTGTTTCTATGTCTTTGCTATTGTAGATTGTGCCCCTGTAAATATAGGATTACAGATCCCTTTCTCACATGTAGTTAAATTTCTTTTGGAAATCCCTAGGAATGGGATGGCTGGGTCAATGCAGTTCTATTTTAAAGATTTATTTATTTGAGAGGCAGAGTTACAGGGAGAGAAAGACAGAAAGATCTTGCATCCATGGTTCACTCCTCAAATGGCTACAACATCCAGGTCTGTGCCAGTTTGAAACTAGGAGCCTGGAGCTCCTTCTGGGTATCCTACATGTGATGAGGGGACCCAAACACTTGGGCCAGCTTCTGCTCCTTTACCAAGCACATTAGCAGGCTGTTGAACCTGTGCGTGTTTGGGATGCCAGCATCGCAAGTGGTAGCTTAAACTGCTGTGGCACAGAGCTGGCCCATTTCAATTCATCTTAGTGTGTATTGAGGTTACTGAGTAGTAGATAACCCTTTATTATTATTAATTTATTTATATTTGAAAGGCACAGTCAAGGAGAGAGAGACACCTTCCATCTATCAATTCATTCCTCAAATGGCCACAACAGCTGGGACTGGGCTGGTCCTAAATCAGGAACCAGGAGCTTCTGGGTGTCCCATGTGGGTATAGCGGCCCAAGTACTTTGGCTCATTCTCTGCTGCCTTCTTAGATCAAAAGCAGGAAGCTGAGTTGGAAGGGAATCAACCAGGATTCAAGCTGGTACCCATATGGTATGCCAGCACTGTGGGTGGAGGATTAATGTGCCACACCACAGTGCAGGCCCCAGTGGATAACTCTTTAATCCAATTTAGAAAGTTTCCAAGATAATGCAAATAATACTGGTAATATTTTTAAAGTGAATTCTGTGACTTAGTTCTAAATTCCTTATAGATAGTGACTCTTAGAATATTTGGTTTATCTAATTGTCATTTTCAAGACCAAATTTGAGTTACTTCTTTGTCTTCTTGCAGGGACCACTTGTGCGGTGGCTGAAAGTGAATTTCAGTGAAGCATTTATTGCGTGGATTCATGTGAAAGCACTAAGGGTTTTTGTCGAGTCTGTTTTGAGGTAAAGAAAGTTAATGGAGCAGCTTAGAACTGCAGCGTTATTAGATCTCTGCACCCTGGACCTTTTGGCTGCTAGCACAGGCTGCCAGCAGGAGGCTGACTTGGAAAAGCCGAAGGGTCAGTCTGAGGGAGAGAGCACTAAGGCCATGGCTTGGGACATGCGTCTCGATCTTGTCATTTGATGCCAGCCTAGAAGGATCTAGGCCACTGTGGTCACTTGCTCTTTTCTAATGTAGTTAAGTAAGTTACAGGTGGGGTGCACAGTGTTGGCCAGTGTTTGTTCAAAAGGAAGATATTTTGTTGGTGTTGGTGGTATAGTGGTGAGCATAGCTGCTTTCTAAAAGGAAGATATTTCAATATAGTTTACTCATGTACACAGTGTATGGTTGATTTACTAAAATCATTTCATAGTAGCCTGAAAAATTCCAGGACTGCAAAAATCTGTCATCTTGGGATCCTCTGTACATTCTGCTCATCCCAGGAAAGGGTCTAAAAATGCTCTCTTCAAATTTTCAGAGTGCCTGTGGGGTGATCTCACAGTGATTATTATCATAAAAGTATGATAAATATTATTCCTGGAGGTAGTCACGTAGAGTATTTGAAGTAATTCCTAGCACTTGGCTCAACTGAAAGACAAATTTGTAGTGGGCAGTGAGGACCAGAGGAGGTTCGTTTCTCTGAGTGTGTCGGTCAGTGTTTCTGTACACACGGTGGTAGGGCTTGTAAAGGGAACATTAAAATGAGACACTCTTCATTAACTATGATTAAAGAGCAGCAGGCGAATATTAGTGTTGCCTACTGTGTGTCTGCTTCCTTGTAAGGTATGGCTTGCCAGTGAACTTCCAGGCAATGCTCCTGCAGCCCAATAAGAAGACGATGAAGAAACTACGGGAAGTCCTGCACGAGCTGTACAAACATCTGGACAGTAGTGCAGCAGCAATCATTGATGTGAGTACTGATTGGCTCTCCGGGCAGTGGACATTGGAGTGGGATATATATTGTATATATCATACTACTTAGCCATTTTTTATTTAAATTAGTATTTTAAGGTTCCTATTTAACTGTTAGGAAAATGAAGCAACGAATTAACATTGTCTGCCCATGGGCACTAGTTGCTTACAAAAATTAAAAGTTGCAAAGCAAGCACCTAATTTAAATTCTCTTTAGTGACATTAATGGAATCTGGATGGGCATTTTAAGGGGAACTCTCATTTTTCTAAAGAGGTATGACATGCAAAGTAAAATATGGCGTGAGCAGAATGTGTGTAGTTTTTATTGCTGCTATAAATTATTTCAGCTGTCTTACTGATTTTATTCCTTTCCAACATGGTAATATCACATGTGACTGTCAGAACCATAGACAGATAGTTCTTGACAAAAGAACATGCAGGAAATGACTTGCTACATTTTCATGAGTTTGCAGACTATATAATGAGGTATAATTTTATGATACATACTTTCCTACCAAATTATTATAATATGTATGTGAGGGTATTGCAGCAAGTTCATGAAAATGGAATTTAAAGCTATGTTTATTTTGGCACAAAAGAATTTTGAAATTCATGGATAAGAGTAAGGATCTTCAGAAACTTCATGGAAATGCGTATTATGGAAAAATCATGCATGGTGGGGCCAGTGTTGTGGTAGAGTGGGTAAAGCTGCCGCCTGTGAGGCTGGCATCTCATACGTGGCGCCAGTTCATGACCCAGCTGCCTGTTGATGCACCTGGGGAAAGCAGTGGAAGATGGCCCAAGTGTTTGGCTTCCTATGCCCTTCATGGTTCATCCTTAGCTAGTGTGGCCACCTGGGGAGTGAACCAGCAGATGGAAGATTTTTTTTTTTTCTCCTTCTTTCTCTGTCTTTCCTCTCTATCTCTCCTGACTCTTTTCTTTCATTTAAATGAATTTTTAAAATATTTAGACTTTAAGGAATCATGCATGGTGGGCTGGGTACCATGGCATAATAGACTAAGCTTTTGCCTATGGTGTTGGCATCCCATATGGGTGCTGATTTGAGTCCTGGCTGTTCCACTTCTCATCTAGCTCCCTTCTTATAGCCTGGTAAGCCAGCAAAAGATGGCTCAAGTACTTAGGGCACTGTGCCCTTGAGGGAGACTGGGAGGAAGCTCCTGGCTTCATGCCCTAAGATCGGTTCAGAATTGACTGTTTTGGCCATTCAGGAACTGAACCAGTAGTTGAAAGATCTCTCTCTTTCTGTTTGTAACTCTGCTTTGCAAATGAAAAGCTAAAAGAAAAAAAAAATTTGTAAATATTTATTTATATGTGTTTGAAAGGCAGATTTATAAAGAGAAGGACAGAAAGATCTTCCATTCACTGGTTCACTCTCTAAATAGTGAGTGAACCAGCTCCATGGCCGGAGCTGAGCTGATCCAAAACCAGGAGCCAGGAGCTGCTTCTGGGTCTCCCATGCAGGTTCAGGGTCCCATCCTCTGTTGATTTCCCAGGCCACAGGCAGGGAACTAGATGGGAAGTGGAATAGCTGGGACTAGAACTGGCACCAATATAAGATTCTCATACTTGACAGGTGGAGGATCGGCCAATTAAAGCATTGTTGTCACCCTTCTCCCCCAAAAATCTCTTAGTGCAAAAACTATTTTTGGATTTCAGGATTTTTTTTTTTTGTACCAAAATTGTTTCAAAGTCGTTTAATTCCATTTTTCTGTTTTAAAGCCTGTTCTGAGGGGAAAAATTAAATATTTATGTATTTGAAAGACAAAAGGATGGGCGGAAGGAGAGGAAAGAGAGAGAAAGATCTTCTATCTTGTAATTTACTCTGCAAATGCCCCAAACAGAGTGGGGACTAGGCTGAAGCCAGGAGCAGGAACTCCACCCAGGTCTCCCACGTGGGTGGGACCTAAGTACTTGGACCATCACCTGCTGGCTCTCAGATGCATGAACAGGAATCTGGGTCGGAAGCAGAGAAGCCGGCGTTCTTACACAGGAAGCAGGCGTGCCAGGTGACTAACCTGTTCCATACACCGATGCCTCCACTAACATTTGAAGTATCCTCAGAAAGTGCCATCCTTAGAAGTACACTTGGTTTACTTTCATGAAGCATTTTGTAAGCTTCATATCCATTCCACTCAGTACCCAGACCTGACATCTGAAAAGTAACTTTCCACAGGAAACTTGAAGATTAGCGTGATTACGATAGGAATCTGGCCACCGTGCTCTGTCCATGTGTCCTGGGTGAGGGAACCTCTCGGTTGCAGCATGGAAGTAACCCTGCCCCGTTCGGATCCCATCAGTGTGGGACCGTAAGTTAGCCCAGAGTAGACGCTCGATAAACCAAGTCCTCCAAGTGGGGAACTGAGTATTTCTCTGGTTTTTTTTCGTAGGCTCCAATGGATATTCCAGGCTTAAACCTGAGTCAACAAGAATACTACCCCTATGTGTACTACAAGATTGATTGCAACCTGCTGGAATTCAAGTAAAGCCGAGCTCCAGCCTAGCCACCCTGTCCTCGTGCCGGTGTGTGCCCACAGAGCCAGGCTGTGACCATAGTGCTTGAATCCTGCCAGCCCTGCTCGCCTCAGCCCCTGCCTAGGTGAACTCTCCTCTAGTGGTCCACATCTCAAGAGTTTCTTTTCAAAGAAAAAAAAAATATATATATATATACTGTTTTCTTTTTATGGATCAGGTTTGTAAATGTGTACTGAAAAAATCAGAGTTTATTTATAAGTGCAGGAGTTTATTTAAAAAGATCACTGATATCATGGTATGCATTAATTCCATTTGTTCCTACTGTGCACAGAAGCCTTGTTTACAAGGGAATGGTGAACATTTGTACCATTTTGTTCACAGTGTTAATAGTTATTCAATCGTGATGTGAAGAAATGTGACCATGTTCAGGTATGTGTTTTCTGAATGTTTCCAATTCCAATCTGTCAGCACTGTTGACACCCACAGGAAAGAATAAAATTACCTGTGCAAAGGTGCATTGTGTGTGTAACTTCAGAAGATCGCAAGTCAGCCTCAGAACGTCATCAGTGACGTCACAGCTCCCTTGCTATGCTGCTTCCAGGGTTGCTGCGTGCCGAAGTGTGACTGGCATGTGATCTATGTGTGCCAAATTTGGGTCAGATCACAAATTTAAAGATTATTTTTCAACATATGATGGGTATTTACATTTGAACACTGGACTTCTTAGAAGTAGGACTAATTTTGAATAAAGTTAGTAAAGCTGTGTAGTGTTAGCCATTTCTTTTGTCAGCATTTATTGTTTTCTTTTATTGTCCTCTAATAACAAAAGCCGTGGTTGTGACATGTCATATGTGACGTGGCCTGACAGTGTAGAGACATTGCTAGCCTTTAACCTTTGATGTGAATGACTTCATGTCCTGAAAGAGCTTGGACGAATGAAGTTTATGTATTACTTTAAGGGCATTTGTGAATGAGTTTGTGGCCTCCATGCTTTTTATGTTGAAATTTTGTATTGTTATGTCTGAAGTAATTGTTAGCCTAACAAATGCAAGGTAGGACAGGTGGGGGCCCTCCCTGCAGCCTGACCCCCAGAGGAGGTTTCCCTGTTCTGCCTTCCCCTCTCTAACACATGGCTGAAGAGTGTGTTTTTAATAAAGCGAGGTTCATACCGCATACGTTCCATCACTTGCCTGTCTTCTGAGGGGTGAGTGTCTCAGCTGCTCTGATGTGTCACGCCATGGTCTGCCAGCTGTCGGGGTGGCCTCGTTATTGGCAGGGTTTGCCCTGAAGCCCTGCTGGGCAGAGCCCCATTTCCTGTTGTTGGGATTTCTGCAAGGGAGGCGCAGAAGTGGACTTGTTCTGTAAGTTAGACTTGCACCACACCCTGCCAAGTTACCTGCCAGAATTGTGCATCTCAGACTTGTACAGTGTGGCTTTATTCCAGGTATTCCTTTGGATAAGAGAATGCTGTGAAAATTGTTCATTTTGATGGCTGAACATTCTGGGCTTCTTGTCGTCTTTTGCAAATGTTCTCTCTCTGAGTGTTGGTGTCTGCCACATGGAGTCAGTCTCTGCCACTGAGGTGTCACCTGCATGCCCAGTGACATTCAAGCTTTCACTTAGTTGCTGATTCTGTTGTGCTGAGAGCAGGTAAGATTTGTGCCAGGCTTAAAAGCCCAGCATCTGCTTGAGAACATGGGATTCTCACTGAAGCTCCTATTGGGGTGCCATCAGGCAGGTTGGGACCAGCCCCAGCTCTGCTCCCAGGAGCCCTGTGACCTGAATGCAGGTCCCTAGTCTCTCTGTAGAAGCAACAGGATTCGATCCCACCACACGGGGTCGCTGTGATGTGTACATGAGACCCCCTACAGCCCAGGCCCTGCGGGTGTGACTCAGTGTCCCTGGGGAGTCCGCATGACTTTCCTTGCTGTGCTTAGCTCAGGAACTCATGGATACCTCAGCATCAGAGTCCACAGGTGAGACGTGTGTGCAGATGTCAGCTTATGTGGCCACCGAGCTATGGCGCAGGTGTTTCTGTGGCTGCCGCTTTGCCTTCTGCTCCAGGATAGAACTCAGATAACCCAAGAGTCCCAGACTCTACCGAATTGTACCATAAAATTCTAAGTTTAAAATAAAAGTAAAAAGAAGGGGTCATGAAATACTTAGTGATATCTGCTGCCTCAAAACTTCCTGTGCAGTGTGTGATGGCAGCCCTGGCCATCCCAAAGTTGCATTTGTGGAGACTCAAGATCCAGAGAGTTAAGTAAGTCCTTTGCTGAAAGTCACCAGTTTTGAGGTTGGCATTCAGCTTCGTGTTAAGGTGATCATATCTCAAATCAGCATACCTGGGCTCAAGGTCCTGACTCTAGCTCCTGCTAACACACACGCTGGGAGGCAGCCATGATAGACCACGTGACTGATTCCTTCTACCCCTGTGAGAGACCTGGGTTGAGTTCCTTGTTCCCAGCCCCAGCCTGACCCAGGCCATCACTGCCACCATTACAGGGACTTCTCCCCTCCCTTTTTTGTTCTCTTACTCTAATTTAGATATTTGTGGTTTGTTTGTTTTGTATGTGTGTGTGTTTAAAATTTATTTATATTGGAAAAGATTTGCAGAGAGGAGACAGTGAGAAAGATCCGTCTGCTGGTTCACTCGCCAAATGGCCTCCGCAGCTGGAGCTGAGCCCATCCAAAATTGAAGCCAGGAGGCAGAAGTGGGTGCAGGGTCCTAAGGCTTTGGGCCGTCCTCCACTGCTTTCCCAGGCCACAAGCAGGGAGCTGGATGGGAAGTGCAGCAGCCAGAACATGAACCGGCATGTATATGGAATGCTGGCACTGCAAGAAGGAGGATTAACTAATTGAGCCATCACACCAGCCTCCTGGGTTGTTTTGGTTTTTTGGTTTTTTTTTTTTTTTTTTTTTTTTGTAAGCTAATAGTTTGAGTAAGAACCCAGATAGAATCTTAGAACTCTGACTGCTGAATTCTTTATAGCAAACCCTGTCCCCTCCGTTAGGTGCTGTGTGAGCTGAGCTGACTGAGGTAGACAGTGATGTGGGAAGGGCACTGGTATGGGCGGCCAGATAGTGAATGCCCACTGCAGGGTGGGGTGCTGTTGTGTCTGCTGCCTGTGTGCTCATCTCACCAGCTTGTCTGTGTTTTTCTGTACTCAGTAAAGGAAACCCCACATGCTGAAGCAGGAAATTCTAGAACAGTCCTAGTGGCTGGGTGGGTGAGCACATTATCAATGGTACCTTTAAAGTGATGCTTTGTACAAAGCAAATGTGACCTTTTATTTGTCCTCACTTTAAGACAAAGAATGTTGCAAATAAAATATCAGAAGCCGATAGAGCTTTAAGGTTTTTCTCCTTCATTCTCAGCTGCCATTTCCTTTAAAGAACTCGAAGTCATACATGGACACAGTAAAAACCACACTGGCAAGACAGTTTCTAAAGGGAGACTTGCCTGCCTCTAGAACCTGTGTTCTGGGCTTGGTCATTGCTGGGCACCCGCTGTTTGCCCTGGGAGGGCTGCACTGCCCTTAGGTTCCAGTGGAGCTACAGGGAACACTCACCTCCATGCTCGCTGCTTCAGGTGCCCAGCCCTGGGCAGCGCCCACCTGATTTCAGGCATGAACGCATGTGGCTTAGGGGGCCCATTTACGTCACCAGAGAAATCGCCCTTGTGATATTTTGATATCCAGGCTCAGGAACTAAAAGAGAAAAGGGACCAGGACTTGGTGATGGTAACTTGTGAGCTTGCTGGGCTTTGCAGGAGAAGTGAGAAGGGTACCCCGGGACCAGGCGTGGGCCTGCAAGCAGCAAGGTGGAGGCTGGGGCAGCTGCAGGCCGCAGGCCTCAGTGGGGTTGCAGCTGCAACCTGGTCCTGACCTGCCTTCCGCCTCCTCGCAGCTCCCTCCACGACCATGGGGAGGGTGAGGTCAGTGCTGTGGTGGGCCTCAGGCCCTCAGACATTTGGCCCAGGGACTAGAATTTGGAAACCTTCCTGGGGCCAGTTTGGCACTGCTCACATGGCATCTGTGATCAACCCTGATGGTGATGGTTTGTGAGTGTTTCATAAGCAAAGGGATAGACTGTGTGCAGTACTGTGTGGAACTTGAAATTACATATGTATAAGTGTGAATGTATGTGTGTTGCCAGAAGAACTATCCAGGATATCCATTCAGCTTTCAGCTATTTTGCCATTTCCTGGGTGTCAGGGACCCTCCTGGGCAGGTTTGTGACAAGAAGTTGTCTTTTGCACCGACGCAGCTCAGTGTTTATCTGGGTAGGCTGGTGCTGAGACGGAGCAGTACAGATCCAGGTGGTGCAGGTCTCCGGCTCCGTTAGAGAGCCAAGCGTCCCTTTCCTTAAACAGTGATTTGCAGGTGCTGCGCTTGGCCACCAGAGGGCACCGTGGTGCCGCCGCAGAGCCCACGCGCTCTCCCAGCTCCCCCAGGACGCCCTCGGCGCCCGCAGACCCACCCAGCAGCGTCCAGCCCCGGAATATTTCGCTGCAAATATTAATTAAAGCAGAGTTCGTGGCGGAAATGTCAGAGGGCTCATGTTCACGTTGCAGTGTAACCAAGTCTGCGGGTGTGTGTGTGTGCACGCACGTATAACTAAACTCCAGCAGATGGTGCCCGTTCTGAGTGGTCAGAAACACAAGGAGATTGGCGGGCAGCGCGGGTGGGCCCCGAGCACACCCTGCACCCCAGGCCCTGGGGACACGACACTGAGCGGGCAGGACACAGTGCAGGCCTCACTGGGGCTCTAGGACTGGTGACTAGTGGTGCCTTGCCTGGCACAGCATCGACTTGCAAAGTCCGCGTTAGAGAGGGGATTGTCTGAAAGCCGGAGTCTAGAAGACAGCGCCCTAAGCATGTCGGCCCGGAGAAGTCAGGGGGTGAGGAACAGGGCCCCGTGTTTCTCCAGATCTACCCCACACGTGGTGTGGAGACTGTCCACGAGGAATTCCGGGGGTGACGGACCCTGCACGTCAGAGCTACCCAGGCCGGTGGCCCCGACCCCGGGCGGTGGTCGCTGCCAGTGTGACGGAGGAAGGGATGGATGGATGGATGGAGGGAGGGAGGGAGGGAGGGAGGGATGGGTGGATGGATGGCGGTTCAAAGCCTGCGATGGAGGTTCCTGACCCCAGAACTCGATCCAGGCGCCACCCTGCCGCCTCCCAGGCTCTGCGCCTGCTGGACCGCGGACGGCCCCGAGGGACACGGTGTCCTGACTGAACCTCCCGTGGAAGAGGCCGGGCCTGCAGCTCCACGGCTGGCCGCGCCCTGCGTGGCTCTCTGTCCTGGGGGCTCTGGGCCGTGGGTCGGCTGCCCGGGAGGAGGCGAGGGCCACTTGCCCTGTCGCCCCCACGCGCAGCTCCTCGCGCCTCATTGCACCGCATGCCTTCCCCAACGGCCGCAAACGGCCGCCTCGCACCGGGCACCCGCTCTTCAGGTCTTGCCCGAAGGATAACCGCATCCAGCCGGCCTGTCTCCCGGTTTCCCAGCCCCGCTCTTCCTCTGCTCAGCCCAGGCCTCTGCTAGGAAGCTCTGGTCCCCTTGTCCTCTTGTCCCGATGGGCGTTTTCGCGTGTGGCACCAGGAAGCGGAGTCAGGCCTCAGCTCTCTGGCCTGAAGCCCCGGGACCGTGGCTGTCTTCTCCCTGCCCGGCCCAGCCTGGCCGCCCCTCTCTGAGTGCCCGGGTGGCCTCCATACCCGGACCTGAACCCTCTCTTCCTCCACAGAAGTGGGGTGACCAT